GGTTCGAATCTACCTCTACCAGACGTACAAGATTGATCCGTTCATGAAAATAAACCACTCTCTAACCGGGCGCTAGGGTATCCAGCACCACGCAACGCCTCTTGCTTAACACCTGAAAGACTTGCACGAAAGAGAGCAGCAGATAGGGCAGCACAGCGAGCCCTGAGATAGGGCAGCACAGCGAGCCCTGCGTTTGAGAACGAAGAAGCGTATCGAGCGTCTCAAGCACGAGATGCAGGAATGTCGGAGCGATGCAGACCAAGACATAGTCGTTGACAAACTCAAGCGCCGCCACCAAATGCTTGAAATGGAAATTCTCAATATCTGATGAGGTCTGGCAAAGTCTCTATACATATTTCTGAACGAACTGTTCCTGCTTTACATGTATCTCGCTCTACTACGGGCATCCGCTCAGTCTGACCGGATCACTCATGATGTTGCAGAAAAAGCCGCAGGAATCATCTTTCCAGATTCCGTGCAAGTCTGCGAACCATCATCCAGCACAGTGTGCGAGATTAAGAATCAAGATGAAATCCATGTATTCACAATGTAACCAAAAGTTGTTAGTATGATCGTATGGAATTTATAGCAAAATAATCTTGACTCTGATGGCTAGTCCCGAATAGATGGCCGAGTGGTGAAAGGAAAACGTACTCCGTGGTCGCTATGGCCATTGAGGGGGCAAATTTGTGCCTCGAGACTAGGAGGCGTGGCTTCTCATGACAGTAGGAGTTTCACCCGGGACTGACTGGAGCGCCACGAGTCTGTCTGCCGAGGTGGAAGACGCGCCAGCAAAATGTGAGACATGGCTAAGGCATAGAGTGCAGAATGAACTTTGCCGCTTCACTGAGTAGGTGTTTGGGCAACATAGTATCAGCTCGCTGCACTGCACAGTAGACGGCATTGCCATGGCTAGTCTCGAAGAAAAGCTAGATCGTGATTACCTCTCAATCACGCAGGTTTTACTGCGTCGAGACCTTTTTCTGTCTACTAAAGGTACAGTATGTATCAACAGCTCTCTCCTAGTGTTATTGTCACGTTATGTGAGGCAGTTACAGTAGCTGTCATTGATTCTGTTATTGTTATTGTTGAAAGGCTTGTCCTTTTTTTGTTCCCTAAACTTAACAACCCAGCATTTAAATACGTCTGAAAACTGCTGCCTGGCAGGCAGCAGTGTCACGACAGAATTTGCCACCCAGGCAGAACGCTTGCGTATTGACCCAACAGAGGCAGCGTTATCCGACAGTTTAGGTTCCCTCGGTGTAATGGCAAGCAACCTAGTTATCTTGCCGCATATCTCAGATCTTGGGAGCAGCCCCCTTGAAATTACTTGAAGGCTCATCTCTTTTTTGTGAGAAAAGTGTCTTAGCTTAAAATAAGAGGGATGATGTTGGATAAGAAAAGAGGTGGACAATACTTGCAAAGCCTGAGAGTTTTTCAGCCTTTGGTGCTTAGGGGTGGGGCTTGGAAGAAGAGAAGGGGTGATGGGGCGGGGTTAGGGATTAGGCGGGGACCGGGGGGTGTGGGAGTGGGGGGAGAAGGGAGTGGGGGGAGGAGGGTCCGGGGGAGGGTCCCGGCAGAC